AAAAAAAAGGTCCAACGAAAAAAAAGAGATCATTGAGTGAAGAGTGAGTAAGACATGGTGATATAGTCCACTTCTAGTTGATATAACTACAGCTGATGGTTGTGAGGAAGTTGACATATTGGTAGCTCATGCATGGGATGCTTGTATTTTAATTTTTGTGCAACACCATGGGAACTTGCGTAACGTCGTGCCAATCTAATTGGCAGTTTAAATTCGGGATTCTACCTCCTCAGCCAGAAGATGACAACACTCTTAAAGAGCCATGCTTGGAGATATGCCCCAACGCTGTTCGTCGAAAAGAAATGAACCATAACATGGATGCACACAAGTGTCCGAAAGCATGAATTTTTATTTTTTTGGTTGTCCTGCTATTCTAATATCTTGAGTACATAGTTTGTCTTCCACAACACTACAGCAAAAGTAGCGTCTGCCTCCAGTTTGGTGTAACTACTTGTAAGAGAGAAATTTAAGAACAGAAGGATAACTTTTTAAGGACCAACAGCAAAATTCATTCTATGCATAAAACTCTAGAATATAATGCACATAGCAACTGCAATTGTAACTGAAGTGGATATTCTGGAGAGGGAAAAAAACCTTTTTTTTGTTGAGCTTTGAGGTGTTTAAGCAGCAACACGGAGAAGAAGCTACCAATTCTCGATTCTTCAAGAAGCAAAAGCAAAATTTAAAAATTAATTTTTCATGATAAAATATTTTATATTTACAAGATTATTCCTCACTAGTTTAGTTCATATCTCTTATAGAACCTTCTTCTCCTTTTTGGTTTAATTATATATATATATATACACACACACACACACTTTATTTTTGTTTTGTATATTTTAATTAAATTAAATCTTTCATAATAAATATTCAAACTTATTTTCTTGATTAAGATAACTTTAGTTGTAGAATGAATCTTGATGATACCTGTTTGCTTAATTCGAAATTTAGAAGCACTTCTTAAAGAAATTTTATCAAACACGAATTGTGTATCAATTACTTAAAAGAGCATTTCTCAAAAGGGAAGGGAAAGGAGGTCTGAAGGTGGCAAGTGGGGAGAAGGAAGGAAAGGGCTTGGAAGAATGCAAACGGGGGGACGGGGGAACTTAGGTAGGGAGGGGAAAAGGGGTTTGGAACTGGGAAAGAAAAGAAGAACTTAAGAGGAAGAAGGCACATTTTTTTTTTCGTATTTTAGGAGCACGGTTTGCCAAACTCAGGTGTTCGCATGACATACTTCTCTCTATTTGATCGCTAGTATGATTAGGATGTTGTATGCGGTAAAATATGTTGCGCCATGTGGTTGCTTAAAGGAATGACATGTGAAACCTAGGGCAAGGGATAGTCAAGACCGATTACAATTATCTCGTTTGTTACCGGAAGAAACAACATTCATAAAGAGGCAATAAATACCTTCCGCCCAGAAGTATTAAATGGAGAATATTTCACAATATTTAGTATACTGCCCGTTACAAAGAGATATGGCATTCATGCATGTTACGCACTCTTCAATGGCACTCATAATTGGTAAATAGGGGCTTGACCCTAAGTCCTTATTTCCTAGATGTAACTATAAATAGTGAGTTCTATTACCATTATAAGTATACGAATTTTCTGATAAACGAATGTCATAATATATTTTAATCTTTATACAAATTTACTTTCTTGTTCTTTAGTCTCATCATTGTTGAGTCCGGAGGCTCTGCCCCGGAATTACTATTTTCCATGATTTTATCTACATTTCAAGGCTAAGTATTGCATATTTCGTTAATTCTTTCATTATCGCTGGATCAAATTAATTCACTTGTCTACAAATCACGTATAAATTCAAATGTACATTTTTATAAGTAAACAGTTTGGTGCCCACCGTGAGGCCTAGACAGTCGTGTAATTAAGTTGATCCTTGCCTTTTTTTACTGACGTATTTTGATTATTTGTCTTAGCAAAAATCATGAGAAATTGCAGATAACAGTGTTAATAGCACACATAATCCTGAGGTTCGAGGAGACCAGCCTCATTTCGAGGATTCAATCAGTGACACTAACAATGTGGGAAATGATGCCACGTTGGTCCACGATAAGTGATACTCGTGACAGGTTCAGAAGGCAACTCTCGATGATGCTGAAGAAGAGCATGTTGTTGATGTGGTAAGGGTCCTACAAGAGCAACAAGCGATCATTCTAGGCCACCTCACACGGCATGATAAGGTTATGACGGATTTGAAGTAGGCGTTACCGGAGGCTTCCAATAACGTGAATAGGCGAGATCCAATTCTTCCCAGCGCTCCCGAAAATCAAACAACAGAGAGGGTCGATAACAACACCCCGAGGGGCAAGGTCGGTTCCAATGGAGCTGGGGGGAGCGGTTCCGGCCCCAATAACGGAAAAAATCCCTTCAAGAATGAACTCTTACGGTTATTGAGAGAAGTGAATGCCCGCATGGACCAAATCTCGGGCGCACCACCGATGCTGAAAGGACCAGACTCAAAGAAGTATACTCAGTTATTATACAAACCAAGCGCGACACTAGAATTATTCCCGAAGCGGTTTAAAATGCCCGACGTGCCAAACTATGATGGAACTTCAGACCTTCAGGAGCATATTACCACCTACTCAAAGGCGGTGAAAGGGAATGATTTAACTTCTCATGAGATTGAATCTGTTTTGTCGAAATTTTTGGAGAGACTCTCATAAGGGGAGCCTTAACGTGGCATTCACTATTACCCGAGCATTCCATAGATTCTTTTGGGATGATTGCAGATATGTTTATTAAGGCTCATCTCGGGGCCAAAAAGGTGTAGGCCCGAAAGACCGGCATATTTAGAATTGCACAAGGAGAATTCGAGTTGCTGCGAGAGTTCGTTACCCGGTTCCAAAAGGAGAGGATATTGCTCCCGGCTATTCCAGACTAATGGGTGTCTTACGCATTCACCAAGGGACTGCATCCAAGAAGTTCAAACGCTTCCCAAAAACTAAAGGAAAGTTTACTTGAGTTCTAAGCAACGACTTGGGTGGATGTCCACAACCAGTACGAATCAAAGATAAGGATCGAAGATGATCAGGTTGGTTTCCCATCGTCGGCAAAGGGATGGGAGAAAATAAAGAAAAATCAAAAGTCGATTTCGACACGGATAAATGGTCTTTGAGGGGCAGGTTTTTTCCCTACGAGCGAACCGAAGGCCGCGACAGAGGTTTCCGATCAGCAGACAGGTTCGCTACCGACAGAAGGACTGATCGCGGTCGGAACAATAGATCATTGAAGGACAAAGAAGCGTTAGGTACGCGGGATCCTTCCTACCATAGGCTATCTAAATAAAATTTCTACGTAAGTGTAGTAGAGTTGGTATCCGCTATGAGAAACATCAAAGAAACATGGTTCCCAAGGCCGATGAGATCCGATCCTCTGGCATCTCGGCTAGAGGAATCCCAACCTATGGTGTGAATACCATGGGATGAATGGCCACAGGACTAGGTACTGCCGACATCTCCAGGAAGAAGTAGCGACACTATTGAAGAATGGTCATCTCATAGAATTCTTAACTGACCAGGCCAAGAACAACTATGGTCGCAACCGCGATAACGTAGAATCCTCGAAAGCAGGAAAGATCCCCGTGCCAGACGATCATCAATATGATCTTCGGGGGGATGAGATTAATGAGGTCAACTTCTCGGCAGCAAAAATGACAAACGTATCAATAACCCATAGCAAGACTCCGGGAAGTTCCCGAAGATGATATCACTTCACGGAAAAGGACGCAGACAAATTACTGATACCGTACAACGACACACTAGTAATTTCTTTAAATGTGCTAGACTTTAAAATAAAATGTGTTCTAGTGGATCCAGGGAGTTCAGACAATATCATAAATAGAGAGTATTGGAGCAAGCTAAACTCATCGAAAGTATCATTCCGGTCACAAAACTCCTCGCCGGATTCAACCTCGCGAGTGTGACAACCTGAGGAGAGATTCTATTGCCCACGAATGCCGAATGAGTGATGAAAACAACTCTTTTTGAAGTGGTAGATGGTGATATGGGATATAATATTATTCTAGGAAGACCATGTTGCACGAGATGAAAGTTGTACCATCAACGTATCATTTAGTTGCTGAAATTTCCAATGCCTGAAGGAATTAAATAGATAAAGGGCGATCAACCGGTGGCAAGGGAGATGAATGCGATTTTGGTCTCCAGTAAAAAAGGGAAAAAGCACGCGGCATAGCAACTACAGGAACCAACGCCCACTCCCGAATCGAACGAAGTTAGCCTGGGGGTAGAAGCGTCAGAATCTTATCAAGTGCCAAGGTATTTCCAGATACTAGAAGAGACAGATGCAACAAAGTCCATGGCTGAAGAGCTTGAGCAAGTTGCTATTACATCTCGCATTTTCATACGTTAAAAGTTTCGTCTTCGGTTAACTAACGTAGAATCGGGGAGGAGATCATCTTGAAGTTAACGTATTAACAAGCAATAAATAAGTGTTATGAGAGATAAACGGGTACACGGATTAAAGAAAACAAGTTTCGTTAAAAGTGGACAATTTGGAATAAAATACGGGTCGAGCGATAATACCCGAAAATTATAAACTAGTACCATGCAAGGTACCATGTGACCACGATAGTATAATATATAAAGTATATGTGAAGTATTTTAAAAATAATTAGAATTTTAAGTAATTCTTGGTAATTTTAAAATTATACGGGT